AGGCAGAAGGAAAAGAAAAAAATAAATCACGGCTTGAGCCAAAACAGATGACCAGGCGACATGAGAATGAGGTGTGAAGTGACAGTGAAGAGGTTGTGGGTGGAGCTTACTCATCTTCCAGTAAAGGGTAATAGGCTTCTCCTGCTACATCCTTCAGTCTCTGGGTGAAGCAGAGAGAAGCTGTGATGAAAACACCCAGATAAAAAAAAAAGATTCTGCTCTGGCTGAGTTATCTTACATTTCTGAGTTGACAAAGTGACAGTGTTACAGTTGTGTCATCAAGCAGGAAACTCCGATCTCGACCCTGACCAAAGGACTCCCCGTCTGTTTTTTTTCGTACTTAGGCAGAGTACAAATGGGAGGTTTGGACTGTATGATCTCCTTGTTGATCAGCTCCTTCTCCAGGTCTCCCCCAGCCAGACACCACAGATAGTAAACCTCCTCTATGGTTCGCTCAGACAGGAAGTTGTCATCATCATCTGACATCAAACACAGAAACCACCAATGTGTTCTAACAAGTAATGTTCCGTCAATTGTCTTCAATCGAAGTTGAATCCAGATGTCTAGAATAAATTTTTTTAATAATTGTGAACTGAGCGATATAAAGTAACTGAGACAAAACCGTTGCAAATGTCACTGATGTCTTCTGGGAGCTCCAGATGTGCACATCGAAGTGAGGAGGAGAAAAGTCTAACGGGTTTCTGGAAAGGTGTGTAAAGACACGAGACCCCAGAGAACACAGGGTCTGACAGCAGCTGTGTGGGAGTGGGTCTGGAGGGAACAGAAAAACACAGACATGTTGAAAACGGTTTAAAAAGTTAAGAACAGCGAGTACTGTTTGACTAAGCTTGTTAATACAACAATCCCACTCTGCATGACAGGCATGACGGCAGTGTTTTGAAAACCAAATGTCCCACAGGAACAGGAAATGACACTCAGCACAAACGGTTTACCTTTTGGATGGAAGAAAAGTCAAGCATTTCCTCAATAACTCCAGGACATTCTGGGGTAAGTCCTGTGAAGACATGACACATTAGCTGGAGAACACTCACCACAGATGGAGGGCATTAAGATTTTTATTAGCAAGTTGTTTTTTATGAGACAATAATCCATTTGTTTATTAGTCCATTTTTATTCAAATTTCAGCAATAATGTCAGCAGTAGAATTCTGGGAAGTGTCTTAATAAGCAGGTTAAGTTCAACGATTCTAACACTGGAGTAAAAAAAAGGAGCATCCACCAATGGCTTGGCTTCATGATGAAGGTTGAGTGTTGGCTCTTATTAAAGGATTCTCCATCAATTTCAAAGCAACAGTTCTCAGAAAATACAGAAGATTAAATTTGGGGGCTTGGCTTCATGATGAAGGTTGAGTGAAACCAACAGTTCTCAGAAAATATAGAGGATTAAATTTGGATTTATATTAAACAGTTATTAAGTAGCAATGGACTAGCAATCAAACTGTGTTTTTTAGCACCACCTGCTGGGACTGGAAGGGAGGACGTCTGCATTAGACAATTTTCTTTATACTTAATTATTTTACTGACAATAATCTAAGTAGCAATGAAGGTGGAAAATGTATTCTGCTAAGTTCATTGTGTGTGCTTTGTTTATTATTTCATTTTGCTTTTATTAGTATTGTTGTTGTTATTGTTATTTATTTCCAACCAGAATACTGAAAAAGTACAGCTTTAACACATTATCATTATTATATGCTGTTTTATATGCAGTTAGTGAGCAGAATCAGGCAGAAGAACAGACACTGAAGTGAATAAAGTGGTAAATGATGATCTGTTTGTATTAACCACAGATGATTTAAGTATTAGCATGTCATCTTAACTACCTTAATGGCGTCCAGACAACCGTGTTCCTCAGCCAGGACAGTGACAATGTCATCCATGCAACCTAGAAGAGACAAAGTAACTCTGTAAGACAAACAGAACTACATCTGGTCATGTTACCATGTTATGTCATGTTATAAATAACAACATGTTGTTGTTTTATTTCAGTGTGCTGTGGCTCGTTCACTCACCCAGATTTAAAATGAATTTCAGTCTCTCGCTTAAATCAATATTATGCAGCAGTCGTCTTCCCTGTGAGGGACACATGGCATTAGGGGTTGAAGATGAAAAGGATTCACGCAGCACTTAATACAAGGAAATATTCCTAAAAGAACATCCAAGTCTTTGGTGAAGGGGATTCTTACAGCACACAGTTCAAAAAGCAACACGCCAAGAGACCAGATATCAGACTTGGGTCCTGACGGCAGAGGGGCTTCATCACGTAGAGGGTCACTTGGGTGGAAAGAGCCCTGGGCTATCACCTCTGGCGCAAGGTATGATGGGTAGCTGAAGTTAGGATCAGAGAACAGATAAGGAATTCAACTTAATCACCTGATGAACTAACGCAGGTCAGGAATTTGACCCTCTTGATTTGATGCAGTGTTCAGTCAAAGGTGACTTTAAAGGTACATTTATAAAGAAAAACCCTGAATGTCATTTATGGTCCACGTGTCTGGTGAGTCATGGACATGTGTGATCATTTGTCTTTTCATCCCACAGAAGGATATTACACAGAAATACTCAGCAAAACCCAAAGGCCTCTGGATTAGGACAAAAGCCAAGCCATCAGTTCCAGTCTCTCAACAAAGAAGTTATCTTCATGCCTCCAAATGTAGTTTCTATGAAGAGTGAGTCACAATTTCGGTTTAATGTTCTGGTCAATCTTTTCACCTGACTCTCATCAAAGAGAAGTGAACCTTTGACCCTGTGCAGACAGCTGGCCTTGCTCAGTCAGAGCAGATGAAGAGTTCCAGAAGACTCTTCGACCGGAACATTCTCTGATAAATGATGAGAAAACAACCCACCCGATGGGGAAATCTACATCAGCTCCATGGTCAGTCATGTGATAGAAACCAAACTTTGCCAGCTTTACATTCTCCTGCAAAGACAACATAACATCTCAGACCGACGAGTTCTGTTTGAACTGAAAGGACAATCACAAATGCATTAAATGTTCAAAGTTCAGACCTTGCAGTCCATCAGCACGTTGTGTGCACTGAGTGCTCTGTGCACCATACCGTGTTTGTTCATGAACTCCAGACCCTCAAGAACTTCATAGGCAATCTGCATCACCCGCTCTGGGCTGAAACAATAGAGGGTCGTTAAAAATGAATGAAGGAACAAACAGAACAATTCAAAATACATTTAAAAAAATACTCAAGAGAAAAAAATTAGTCTTCATTGACCCCTATTAAAGGGCCAGATTTCTGCGTATCGCAAATGGACCCTGGGTCCCATAGCTTAGACTAGTAAACCCTAGCTTTTACTTTAAACTCCACTGAACAAAGAAAATACAATTACAAATTGTCTACTGGCTTATACAGTAGTCAATATAATCGGCTCGTCTATCATTTAGTGTAATGTTATAATGTTGAAAGTACTTTTAATGACAATCTCACCTGGTAGGTTTGCCTTGTTTTTGTAAATCACTCATACTGGTTTCATAATGTTCAGCGACAACAATCAGCCGTTCTATAAAACCAAAGCACAAACAAATGTGGGTTAGAGTTTGCATTGCAGAATCTATTATGAAAGAGAACATATTATTATTGGAAACCAGGACAATGTTAGAGAGTTAATTCTCCTGCACAAAGGAAATATGGAAAGTGTTATTGTGCTAATCCACATTAAATATGTAAAGTTCTCCTGGGGAATGTGTTGCCTAATAATAGACTCTCTATTGTTTGGACATGATTATAACAGAGTAGTAAACTTGAAATGAAGTGTTTTAGCCAATGTCGAATTCAAGCATATACGTATTATACAATCTAAACAAGTACAGCCATAAAACCATCAGGTTACAACACATGATCCTTTCCTCCTAATGAAGAAAACCTGTTTGGGATATATTCAAAACTTCTGGATAATCTCCAGTGAATGCACATGGTGTCTGAGCTGGATGTACATTATGAAGAACAGATATGTTCACATACGTTCACATTTTCCAATGATTACACTAGAAAGATACATTTAAAAGAGAGAGAAAAAGACACATTATTTCTGACTGTGTCTGAGTTTTACCATGTTTTCCCCTGGAGATGTCTACGTATTGGCAGAGCCTGGGATGAGTGATGGTCTTCAGAATCTGGAAGCGTCCCAGGATTTTGATGGAGTTCGGAGTAAGTGG